AATAAAAAAATTATTCAAAATATTATAGAAAATAATTAACATTATTTAATTGATAATAGAAAGTCTGGATAATAGTAATAATAATAATAATAACAAAAAGTGTATATAAACTGTATATATATATATATAATTTATTACAATATTTTTTATTCATTACTCAACATTTTATTTTAAATTTAAAATATTTAATAAAAAATAAATAAAAATCATAATAAACTATTATATATATATATATTACATTAATTTATTTTATTTGTTTAATATAAATATATATACAGTATTTTATAGAAATATGCGTTAAAATAAATAACATTTTTTTCTTATTATAAAAATTTCATTTGCAAATTTTTAGTGAAAATAAATTAAATCAATATTTATTTAAGTTTTCACATACAAAGTGTACTGTTATACAAAAAATAATAAAAGATTTATATAAACTATTTATAATACAGTTTTTATTATTATTATTTTATTTTATAAACTCTATTAAACTTTTTTTGTTGTTTGTAATGTACTTATGTTTTCAATCATAAGATTAAGTTTGTTTGTTATCATAATAATTATGATAAATTCAATAAAAAACAAAAATAAATTTCAAATACATTTGATAATTTATTCAGAAAAATTTATGTAATTAAAATTTAGATTTTATAAACTTTATATACTTTATGATATAAATAAATTTTTGATTTTTGAAAATAATAATTATATGGTTATGACATTTAAAATATTGCAAAATAAAGATAATAGTATTATTATTATTATTATTCAAATTAGATTTGAAAAATTATCATATAAATTAGTACATTTATATATAAACTTATTAAATATAAATATTTAAAAATAAAAATAAAATCGTTACTATTGATATTTAAACTAATAGCATACAAATAAATAATGTTAAATATTTTATACGACCATAATAATAATAATAATAATAATAATAATAATAATAATAATAATAATAATAATAATAATAATAATAATAATAATAATAATAATAATAATAATAATAATAATAATAATAATATCACAAAATTTATAAAATATTTTTAATGGTTAGAAAAATATAATAATTACAATTTAGTATTAATAAGTTTCTATGCATATTATAATTAAACTGTATATTACTATTTTACTGTAAATATTAATTAGTGATTACGGTTTTTTGAAAATCATTAACTCTGCTAAACGTATTATTATTTATTATTATATAATTATTTATAGTAACCATTATATACAGCAAAGTATAGTATTAATTCAGATAAATTCATTAATATAGTATTATTTGTTATATACAATATATACGTTGTGTGTATATATATCTAATATAAAACATTACAAATAATTTCACTTAACTTATAGACAGATTGTATACAGTGTTTGTGCAGTTTATATTCATTTTATCCATTAAGGGATACATTCATTACATATACAGTATATGTATGACAGTGTATAGATATCTGGGTTGTCTAGTGTTGGCAAAAAAGAGAGAAATTTATAAAATAATAGGGAAATTTCTAGAAAGTTTTCAAAAATAAAAATTTCTATCTATGGGATCTCCATGATTAATTTTGCTCTCTCTCTCTCTCTCTCTCTCTCTCTCTCTCTCGATATTTGTTAACTTGCTTTTACATTGTTTTTACAAGTAATAATTAAATATAAGTATTAGTATTTAATTATTAATTAAAGTAAAAAATTTATTTATTTAATTATATTAAATATGATATATATACTGTATATTAGAATAATGAATAAAATTTTACAAAACTGATTATTATTAAATAATTATAATTATTATATATATATATAGGTATTTAATATCCCTTTTTTGTATAATATATGTATAGTATTATGAATAGTCTCATTAATATAGTATTACAATATTTATAGATATGGGGGATCCCATAGTATAATAATACATTTAAATTTATATAGAAATTTATTCCTGAAAAAGTTTCTAGAAACTTTCTCCAGGAAAATTTATTAGAAACTTTCTATTTGCCCATCTCTAGGGTTATCTGAAATTTTTTTTTATCAATTAGATATACATCATAGCAATTATGATCATAGCTTAGCATTTAATGATAGTGTTGTTTATTGTTGTTAAACATTACTAAAGCTTTTCTTTTCGTCTAAAAATCATTAGTACTATCAATGCATGTTATGTCACAATCATTAATGGCTTAACACACACACACACACACACACCACGAGATATTAAAGTTTTATTTTTGCTTTATTTTCATCAGTTGTGTGTCTATGGAGTGTATGTATGGTTTAATCCGGTAATAGACTGTTGACAATGCAATCCTGATTTTTATCCTAAACGTGATTCTTGTTAACTAAAATTACTGTTTAAAAACAATGAGAAAATATAATTTAATAATTAGATTAGCATTTGTTGTTATTATTGTTGATAAATATTGAATATTATAAACAACTGTGACTTAATATCTTTATTAAATATTTGTTGAAAATTATTAATTAAAAAAAATATTTATAATCTATAAGATTATTTTTTATACAATTTTTAAATTATTAATCATTTTTTTAGAAACAATATATTAAATAGATAAAATATTTTTGATTTGATAACAAAATATATAATTTAATATATTTTAATATATACTATATATTTATTAGATTATAAATTATTATTATTACTTTTATTATTATTATGACAGATATGGGTTTTTTAGTTATTGGTTTTAGTTGTTGGTTATATGGGTAGATAATTATTATAATAAATAACATAATCCAAGTTTAATAGTAGTAGTAGTAGTAGTAGTAATAGTAATAATAATAATAATACGATAATACTAGTGCCCGACATATAAAATAAAAACTTTTATTTTTTTTGTATACAACAGTTGACAACACTTTATTTCGTTTTAATCAATAAATGTTTGTTAGCCAACAAAACGTGTCATGAATTTTATCAAAAGATATATATATATATATATTAAGTATATATACTGTATATTGTATAATAAATATTATAGATATTTTATATGTGTAAACCACTAACTAATCCTATAAATAATTAGTTGTGTACTTTAAAAACCAATTTTCTGTATCGGTATTATTATATTTTTTTGTTGTTTATTGTTATGATATTTATGTGTTTAAATCTTGTGTGCGAAAACAAAATTGCAATATATTTATAGATACAGATTATTTTTCAACAAAATAAGTAAATAAATAAAATTATTTCATAAAATAATATTGATAATAATATCTAGAAATATATGTACAATATATATATTGTATATATAAATGTATAAATATATAAATGTTGGCATCTATAGAAAATAAGCTGTCTTTAGTATTATTATTTTTGATATGTCAAACATGTCAATCAAATAACTAGAAAGTTAATTAAATAAATTTTAAAAAATAATATCATGTATTATATGTCAATTGATTTTTTAATGATATTATTTATATACATTGATTTGCAAAATATTTATCATTTATTTTTATAATGACATAATATTTTGACTAATATATATTTAATTAAATAAATATATAAAAATATAATAATAAATACATAGATAATTTCTATATTATGTTTAATAAATATATAATATTTTTCAGCAAATAGTAGTTATTAATTGTGAATTTATATGAAATGTAAAATAAATTAATATACAGAATTCGTGTATTAAATATAATATTCATAAATAAATAAACTTAAAAAAATTGTAAATTAATGTGTTAAAATAAAATATAATGAATTATGACATATTGAGGTGTTTATAAATTTATACAAAATAAATATTATCACATTTTTTTGGTGTAATTAATAAAATGTTTGTATATATTTTAAAAAAATATTTATAACTATTGAAAACAAATAAATTTTTTAAAAACTATTAATTGATTATATATGATTTTAATATACATTTAAGAAAGTTGCTTATTTTATTTTAAAACAAAATATAATAAAAATAAAATATTGTACATTGACATAATTATAATTTAAAATTTTATGCATATATTTGATAAATAAGATTTTTGTTGATGTATATATATATACTGTATTTATATTACTAAATTAGATATTTAGCCAAAAAATTGTATTTTTAGTTATGTTATTATATGACTATCTAATATAAAATGTATATATCATATTATAAAAAATAATATATATAAATATATATTTACTGTATATTGTATAAGAAATATAGTAATTACAGTATATACTAATTATATAGTAATCTCTCTTTTTTTCTGCCATACTATCAAATGAATTAGCAGTAAATCTAACAAATTTTCATAAAAATTATTATATCTTTAAAATTGTTTTTAATGCTCAAACACTCTTCAAACATACAGATCACAGTTTTTGTTGTTGTAAAGCTAACTGCGTTTTCATATACAGTATATACAGTATTTATTGCATTTAATATATATTGCTAACAGAGCATAAAATATCTACAGTATATCAACTCATAAATACAGTATATATATAATATATATAATATATTTAGATATAGATAATACAGTATATCTATATCTAAATGTATTTATGAGTATAAAGTATTTTTCTTCATAATTTATTAGACTGTTTGTATGTTTTGTTGTCTTCAAATAGTTGGCAATAGATTAATATCAACAGCAGTTTTATGATTAGACCCGTCTATAAGTACATTAAAAGATTAGACTAAATAAAAACTAATAATTAAATTAATCTCATTTAGTCAACAGTTTTGATACATTTTTGTACAATAATAAAAATAAAAATAATAAAATATTAATTGATTAATACAGTAATTTAGATGTTTTATGAACTATCGATATTTTGATAATTTTGTTAAATAATAATAATTTTTATAATAAAAATAATATACAGAATATTCTGTATATAAATCAGAATACTTATTAGTATTCTGTACAGTGTGTCAATTAAAATAATTATAAGTTAATAATAATAATAATAATATATAATTTTGAATATACATTTGAAATTATCATATATTGATATAAATTACAATTATGGACGAAAAAAGGCCAAGTATTGGACGTAAAGGATCTGAATCGGAAATGAGGTATAGTTTTAATAAATATATTTATTAATTATATATATAAATCAATATAGTGTTTATATTATTAAAATTTATTCAAGCAAATACTGTATAAATATTAATAGTTATAAATATTTAATTTTATTATTCAAATAGTTTAATTAATATTTATTTTATTTAATTTTTTTTATGATAATTACTATTTTTTTACCAGTGATATGGATATATTTGGTTTTGGCAATCCATTGATCGATGTGGTGACCAGGGTCAATGATGATTTTTTGGCTAAGTTTGTTATTTGATTTTTTTTATTATAATTTAATTTTTATTTAAATAATTTGTTTGACTATATCTATTAAAAAATGTTTATTTTTATGTTAGTATTTTTGCATATTAAACTTTTTTTTTGTATACAGCTATTAAATTATTTATATTATTAACACAATACAAACTTTAATATCTAAATAAAATAATATTAATAGTAATAATAGTAATCATAAAAATAATATACATTTAGACACTTTCTATAGTAAAATAGTTGAGTAAACTAATTGAAAATTAATTAAATTTAAAAATACAATTCTAGAAAATTTCATCCAAAAAATATTTACTTTATATACAGTGTATACTGATATTGAATATAATAACTCAAATTCATTCACACTTTTTTAAAAAATATGTAAATTATTTTAATTAATAACATAATTGTTTTGTCGCCTTTTTAATTAATTATCGTTTGTCATAGTATTGTTCAAATAATAATTTTAAACTAAATAACTAATTGGTTTGTTATGGTTTGTTGTGTCATATTATAGCTATAGTTATAATATACAGTAAACATTTCGATTTATGCAGTATAGGAAAGCACTGTTTATACTATGCTTATATGAAATCCACTAAAAGTTCATTAAAATAAACAAATTTATTAAATATTAAAAATATTATTTTCAAATTAACTAATATTATAATAATCTTTAATTTATCAATTATATAAATATTCTATCAATTATAAAGATTATTTTAAGAAATAACATAAACATTAAAAATAATAATAACTATAATCACTAATTAATTAATAAGGTTGTGCATCGTAATCAGGAAATAAAAATCTAATTAAATATAAATAACTAAATATAAATAATAACTAAATATAAATAATAACTAAATATAAATAATAACTAAATATAAATAATAACTAAATATAAATAATAACTAAATTTTAATAATAACTAAATTTTAAGAATAACTAAATTTTAATAATAACTAAATATGTCTGAATTCTATCAACTAATTTTTTAACCAAATTATTCAATTTATTCAAATTAAAAAATAAAAATAATGTATAATTAGAAATAATTAAAATAGTAATATTTTTTGTTATAATTAATAAATAATGGAATAATTTTATACTTTATTAATTTTTAGATTGCTACAAGTATTTAAAAATATTTGTTTATTAATATTTCATAAAAATATAATCATTACATACATTAACAAATACAAAGACAAAATGATTTATTTTATTAAGTAATTTTTCATATTAATTGTTTAAACTTCAAAAATTTAAAAATAATGTTATTATAAACTAATATCTTATAAATAATTTAACAAAATTTAACTAAAATTACAATATTTAAATTAAAAATAACGAATTATTAAAATTAATGTCTATAAATTTAATTATATTATAAGCATTAATGTGATAAAAGTAGTTAAAAAATACTACGTTTTTATTTAATTTTATTAATTAAATTATTTTTATAATCTAGTTTTTAATGATTTCATAACTATTATTTTATGCATTTTTATAATTACACAGTAACTAAAATACATTACCTATAAATAAAAATTAAAATGTTTTAAATAATTAGATCACATTTTTCAGTCAAATTTAATTTTAATATTTTAGTTAGAAAAGAATTATTTAAAATAATACTTAAAACAGATTTCAAAACAAATAACAAAATAAATATTAAGTGTTAATAATTTGCAGGATGATTATTAATTATTAATAATAAAGCTACATTAAATTTCCTGATAACGTTACACTAACCGTCAATTTTTTGTTAATTTTTAATTGCATTAAATTATCAGAAAATTAAATATTTAAGACACTTTAATATTTATTTATTATATGGTGTAATAATAATTTAATTTTTGAAACAAATTAAGTTAATTAATTAATTAATATATTACTGTATTAGTTGTTAGGTTTTATTGTACCCACTCCTATACTGCATAAATAGAAATGTTTACTGTAGTAATAATAATAATAAAAACATTTATTTGTTTGTTTTTTGTTGTTTGTTTGAAACAGTAAGTGTTGTTTGTTCAGCACATTAAATATTATGTCAAAATAAAAATAAAATAAAACAAAACAAAAAAAATGATTTGTAAAAGCTTTTGTGTTAAAAATAAAATTAATAAAACATTAAACTATATATTAATTTATAATTTTTTTGTCAGTATTTTTGTTGAATATTTTTTAAAAATTTTATAATTAAAGTTATATATTTATTTTTAAAATATAGTTATTAAAATATTATTTATTAATTATATGATAGATGTACTTTATTTTAGTAAAACATATGCACCAATAATACAGTAGTTAAACACTAAATTAAATTTTAATTTTGCATAACTAAATGTTGCAGAAATAAAAAAAAACTAGTATTAATAGTTAATATAGAAAATTGATTAAATATATTCAATATTAAATATATCATTTTCAGTACTATTTATAACTACTGGTATTAGAAATTTAATAGACAGTTTTTTAATTGGCATAATTTTTTTGCGAAAACAAACCTATCAAATATGACATTTGAGATTTATATGTCACTTATCACTAAATAACACAAACATTGATGTATTTTTAGTAAAAATATGAGGGTCACATACAATTAATATTAATTATTATTATAATAATAATAAATGCTATAGAAATGTATCTTAATATTATTAAATATTTAAAAACGTGTGTGTATGTGTGTGTGTGTGTATGTGTGTGTGTGTGTATGTGTGTGTGTGTGTGTATGTATGTGTGTGTGTCTGTGTGTGTGTATGTGTGTGTGTATGTGTGTGACTATGCGTTTTTGTATATGTCTTTGTGTAACTTTTATACATAAATATAGATTTATATGTATATATGAAATGTGCTAATGCAGTGATACTGTCAACAAAATTATATATATATATATATAGTCTGTATATCATAAAAATATACATTTATGAAATATTTGGCACAAAAATAAAAATTTTTGTAAAGACATTTGAGTGTCCATGAGATTCAAGAGATTTTTTTGACAAAAAAATCTTTATATATATATAAATATATAGAAAAATATATACATATTTCATTTGATATAAAATTTAGATTTTTAAAATAAAATAATACTATAATTAAATTTTTAATCTCTATATGTTATTAACTCATTAAGTGTCATAAGACATCATCATAATTATTAGTATTATTATTATTATAATCAAAAGATTTAAATTTAAATAAGTATTTTATACAAATAGATATACAGTTATATAACTACTAATAAGATACAGTATTTTTATCATTAAATCTCAACATTAGTTTTATTTAAATTAGTTGCTATATTACACAATAAAAAAAAGTTTAAACATTTTTGTAGTAAATTAACCGTTTATTAAAAAAACTAAATTATTCTTTAAAAAATCAATATTTATATATATAGTATAGTATATAATCTGCAAATGATTTAATTAATGATCATTATTATCATATAAATATATTTTGTTGTAAAATACACTGAAATTAATTTTTTACACTCAACTACTTATTGTAAATATATGCATATCAAATAATACTAATATTTAATGTATATAAACTAATTGCTTAATTAAGAGAGAGAGAGAGTATTAAAATTTTTGTATTAGTTTAACATTAAATGAGTCAAAAAGTAAATAAAGATTATTTATAAAATAGTTTTTTATTTATTGTTTAAATAATAAATACATTTATTATAATTTGTAAAACATTTGTTAAAAAATTATACGATTATTGATAAAATAAATTTTATAAATATATTATATATCTATATATATTTCAGATATAATTTGGGCAAAAATGCTACCGTATTGGCCGAACCCAACCACGAGGCCATATTCGACGAGTTTGTCGACCAGTCGGCCGAGGATCTAGACATTGACTACATGCCTGGCGGTACCATTCAGAATGCGCTCCGGTATACCCAATGGATTGTCGGCAAAAATAATCCAGTGGCCAACTATATCGGTGCAGTCGGTGATGATTATTACGGAAAGTTGTTGCAGAAAAAAGTCAAACAAGAGGACGGTCTGGGCGTTAGGTATAAGTGTGTACCCGATATGGCTACCGGTACCAGTGTTATACTGTGCTCGGCTGATGGCAAAACCAAATCGGTGGTCACCAATTTGGGTTAGTTTTACATAAAAAATTATATAATATTAGAAATAATATATAGTTTTAATATAAACTTTTAATATATTAATATACTGTAGTTTTAATAGAGATATATATATATATATATATACAGTATATATATATAATTTATATTAGTAGTGATGTTTTAAATAATCTAATAATATTTTATATTTTTGTTACTTTTGTATAGTTTAGTGGTATAGTATTTTATTATTGATATATTTTTATTATAGTATTTACATTATTGTAAATTTTAGTTAAACTTATATTAAGTTAAATTACTAAATTAAATTGATCAGTAAAAAATGCTATTATAATTTATTTATTTTTTTTTTGATTTTTTGATTTTTTATAATGACTATATAGTTTGAGTTAGTACTTAATTATATTTTTAAAAATAAAATTACATATTAACAAAAATACTACTAATAAAAATTTTCAGTAAATAGTTGACTATATCGTGTGTTAAAATAACATTTTATTTTAAAATTGTAAATTTTAATAATACATTATGATTACAAACTTTTTAAAAAAAAAAATAAATGTCTATTACAATTAATAATTTTAGTTGCAGTTTAAAAAATATATATTATTGTTATTACAGTAGTTTATTAAATTATCTAATTTTTTTACGTATATAAATTTATTTTTTATTTTATTATAATAGGAGCAAGCAGAAAATTTGACAACCATTATCTGATGAGTAACTTTTGGTTTTGCGAAAGAGCCCGACTAGTGTTGACAAGTGGACACATGTTAGCCGGTAATTAAATTTAAAAATATAATTAATAAAACAAAATTATAAAAATAATTAATTATTTATTTAAATATTTCTCTATAATAACAACTACTACTACTAACTAGTATGTAGTAATGCCGTAATGTTTACGGCCAAACACTGTCAGGAATGGGGCAAAGATTTTGTCTTCAATATAGGTATTTATAATTAATTAATTAATTAACAAATATATATATATATATTTAATTATATGATTTACATTAAATAAGGGGCCAGTTATGTAACCAACCGATTCAAGCGTGAACTAAACACACTTATGCCTTATATTGACTTTTTGTTTTGCAACTCGGATGAAGCACAGGCCTACGCGGCCATCAATGGATATAATGTAAACAATTTTAGTTAATATCTAATAAAAATTTTTTTAAAAATTGCTAATTGTTGTTTAATTACGCCTAACTGTCCTCTATCTACAACTACTCCTCTCACCCCTCCATCAACCCATCCCACAGTCACAGGATATTCGGGAAATTGCCAAAATGTTGGCCTCGGAGCCGAAAATGTCCTATAAAAATGCCAACATACCAAACCATTATAAATCGCAGCGTACGGTAATTGTTACTCAACGGGACAATCAGCCGGTACTGGTGGCCAGTTCGCTGTCCGATGAAGTCGACGAATATCCAGTACCCGAGCTGTCCAATGACGAATTTAAGGATACAGTCGGTTCGGGCGATGCCCTGATCGGCGGTTTTCTGGCCATGTATATCGATGGACGAACTGTTGACGAGTGTATCCGATGTGGTCTATACTGTGCCGCCGAATGTTGCAAACAGATAGGCTGTGTATTGCCACCGATGATGACCTTTAAACCCGAAGACGACAGTTATGTTAACAATAATAACGTTATTAAGACTAATGACAGCAAAACTAATCACAACTCTATTAATGAAGAAGAAGAAGAAGATAATGAAGACGAAGAAGAGGAAGAATATGAAGAGAAAGAAGTCTACGCTTAGGAAACAAATCAATTGATAATTATTTGAATAGTTTTATGAGTTTTAATAAAAATATTATAAATTTATTTTAAAATAAAATAATATTTATTATTACAGTATTATTATTATTATGATTATTAAAATTATTATCTAAATGATAAAAATTTATTTTGAAATTATTTTTTTTGTTTATTTAATTAAATTGTTTGTGTCTTACAATAATTTATATTAATGATATTATTATTTTGTTTTATTAATATAAATTATAATATAATAATCATTTTTTTAATGCAAAAAAAATATCAACATTATTATTGATGTCTTAATTTTTATGATTGAAATTAATTTTCACTTATCACTTATCAATTAATTTTGTGTTAAAATATATTTTAATTTACTATAAATATGGATTGTTATTATTATTGTCAATAAAAAAATGATGAAATTTCTAAAATTTTATTATATTAGCAATTGTTATTAATATATTAATTTTGATTGGATTTATTTATTTATTAATTTATAGCTGTTTATATAATATATGTTTATATATGTTTATATAATATATGTTTATATATGTTTATTATAATATTACTTAAAATACAATTTAATATACTGTATTATTATATTATTAAATTTATTAAATTAAATTTCAATGTTGATAATATTGTTTGGAGTTTTATTTATTAAATTATTTTATGTTGTGATGAAAAAACATAATGTATTTAACATATTATTAATTATGAAAATAGTTTTCAAATTAAAGTTTATTTAAAAACAGTTTTTTTAATTGTTTGAATTTAGAAAAACTAATTCAAATATTTTAATATCTATAAATAAATCTATAAAACTATATTAATTATTATATTTTTTAGATATGATTTAAAGCTGTTTTAATATATTGCATCTAAAATATAATTAAAAAACAACTACTTATTGCTAAATAAATTGTATATAATTTAATACATTTATCGGCAAACAAATAAAGATTAATTTATTGTAGTTTATTATAATATTACGTTATCATTGTTTAGCTAATTAAAAATTACAGACTAATTATCTTAATTATTTAAATTTATAATTTGTTTAAATTGACTATAATATGGTATCCAATAACATGTACATGAATTATTATTTAAATTATTATTACAAAATTTAATATATTAATATATATTAAATTATAATTTTAATGATATTAGTAATTATTATTATCATATATTTTGCTTTTATTTAGTAATCTAATAAAGCAATTATGTCAGTTATACTTAAAAGCAGACATTAAATGCAATTTTTTTAAATAAAAAGTATAAATTACTGTATATTTTTATAAAGACTATGATTTGAAATTAAAAATAACTGTAAAAAAATATTATACTTATTATAATTTTTTTTGCTAATATGCTTATAAACAGTGAGTTCTTTAAATTGTACCAGTATGATTATTAATAAATAATTAAATAATAAATTTAAGATTTTAACTTTATTTGTTTGTTAATTATACTTATATTATATAATAAAGTTTTTAAAAAAATATTTTTTTAGTGACAGTAACTGTAAGTATTAATACCTTTAAAATAAATAAATAATAACTAATAAACAATAATATACAAAAATATTGTTAATAATGGTTATGCAAGTGCATGAATACTCAATTAATATATAACTTATATGGTATTTATTTTTAGCTGAAAAAATATTAAAATATGGCTATTTTTGTTGTTTATTATTATTATATATAAGTTTATTTTAATTTTTTAAAAGTCACTTACCTGATATATCTAAAATTAATAATAAAATATTGTAATTAATATTATTTTACATTATACAAGATTATATACAAGATTGCATTATTATTAAATAATATTTTTATAGTAAAAAATATTTTAATACTATATAATTTTAGAAATATAATATTAACAGCAATAATATATTATTAATTAAATTATGTCTATATATTTTTACATATATTATTTTTTTAAAAATAACACTTTAGAAAAATGTCACAAAATATATTTTTAAATACAATTGAACCACTAATAAAGTCAACCGATCATCCATTGACAAGTAGACAGCCGCCAGTGTCAAATAAACTACCTGTGCCAAAATATTATGGTGGATTTGTTAGCTATTGGCTAAAAAATTATCAAAAACAACAACAAAATAATAATAATAACACTTTAAAGTTATATCCAAAATTATGGCGATACTATATATATTTTCAATTGTTGATATTGGCCAGGATAATCAAATGTATTAGCCAGTTATTAGACAGTGGACTACCTAAGCTTGATAGACTGTATGTCCAGTTGGGTACGTTTTCATTGTATATGGGCGGTCCGGCACTGTATACCGAACTGGTTGCCCTGTCCTGGACAGTCAGTGTTAGTCTACTCTATCATTATTGTGTTTGTCGTCCAATCAATGAGTTTAGTTGGCTAAACATTTTTATCTATTTTAATCAAGATAACAATGTGCTAGGTAATCATTTTTTTTTATCTATTTGTAATTATTTATACTTGGTAATTTTTTTTATTAATTTAGATACTAAACAACAACATGTGATGACACAGCAAACAGGACTGTCCCCTGGCTACATAAGCAAATTGACTAAACGCACAAAACTGGCATTTTTCATAGCCGACCAATATATTTGGCAAATATTTTTGGGTTTCATGTTTATCATATTTGTCATCTATTATGTCAACTATTCAATTGTTGATCTACTAGTTTGGGGCATACCCTGGATTATATTATGGGGTGGTTGGACATGGATTGGCTGTCTACCAGTCTATTGGCTACCAGCCTATTTCTATGTAATATGCTACTATATTAAATTGCGATTGGCCACTATTAATGATAAATTAATTGCCATGCTTAATTATACTGGACGTATTAATTATAGATATCATAGGTAACTAAAAATAATTTTTAAAAAAATTGTTTTATTATAGTTAATAATTTTTTTAAACAAATATTTAATTAATTAATTAGAAAATTAAATCACATATTACTTGAACACTCTATGATATGCCAACAAATACTGGTGATCAACAAGTATTGGCGCAAATATTTGACCATAACTTTCATATGCTATACAATTATCATATGTTTTCTACTATATTTTTTGACCTACGCCCAGGTACCCTGGTATACCTATTTACAGTATGGTATCATATTTTCAGGTCACGCAATATTGCTTACTATAATTACCTATTCATCGACAATAGTTTGGCGCGAGTCTAACAAAACATATAGTCTATTGTTGAAAATCAATGGACAGTTACCATTAAATTTGATTATCAAATTAAAGGTTTAATTTATCTAGAATTAAAATTTTTTTAAAAATAATAACAATTTAATTAATGTTGAATAATATATCATATTAATAAAAAAAAATTAAATAAGTCTTAATAAATTTTAAATAATTTTAGTTAATTTTTATTTTAGTTAGTTATTGAACGACTTAAAGTCAATCGGGAAACTTTCAAACTAATAACCGGCCAATTATTATCAGTGATAACATTTCAAGAGGTTAAGCAATTAATTAATATTGATTCAATTGATTCAATAATTTTTTTTCTAAATACCATTAAATATTAATATATTAATTACTTATCTTATAATTATTTTACTTTTTATTGTTGTTTTTTTTGATGTACAGGTTATTGAAAATTTAGTCCGATATTTTTTGTTGATTATTGAAAATCAAAATCATTTTAATTAAAATTATATGTATAGTTTTTATTAATAACATTATTATTATTAACTATGTACAATACTATTTTTGTTTGCTGAACATTATATGTAAATTATTTAGATGATAAATTAAAAATAATTATTAAATTTTAACATGTTGCTATAAACAATATACAATCACCAAGGTTAAATCAATATAAAGTATAATAATAATAGCATCACATAATGAAATGTTGTTCATAGATAAATAATTATAATATCATTACCAATAATAATAATAATATAATGTTTACAGTAGAGTAAGATTATTACTGTTTATTTATAAATTTATCTATTTATTGTAGAAATTATTTAATAATAAACAATATTCAATAGTATTGTTAATTAACTGTTAATTGCAGTGGTAGCAATTGCACTAATACTGTAATATATTATGTATTTAAGTTTATTTTATTAATTATTAAATATAACGTATTTTACGAGAATTTTATTATTAGACAATATATTTTATATATATATTTAGATATTTTCATTAATATTTATAAAATAAAGTAAATATATTACAAAAATAAACTTATATTCAACAATACAATAAAAATTAACATTTATTAATAAATATAAATATTTTTAGTTGTGACTTATTATTTATATTTATTTTTATAAATTTTTGTTAAAAATATTTAATCAAATTATGACATATTAAATTAGTACTGACATATTATTTTGAGAAATTTGAAACTTTTAATATTTCAGATATTTTTTTTATTGCAAAAGTATATAAAAATTATTGTATAATTTTATATATGTTTTTTTTGATCTAATTTAATATATTCAGTATATACTGTATATATAAATAATTAATTTAGACTAATATATATTAAAATATTTAGCAAAAAATACTAAAAAATACTCAATGGCAAATAAAATTAAAATAGGTAGTGTGCCAGATCGGGTAATTAAAAAAGTCAACAAACCCCAAGTGTCCAGATCTAGTGAGACTCAGCTACCAGTCATAAAAAATCATGGCTGGTATATGTCGTGGTGGACCCGCAACTATACCCGGGTGGTCAACGTTCATCATCATCATCAAAGTGATGCATTTTATCCGACACGTTGGCGTCTAGTTATTTGGTTTAATTTTTTATTTATTAGTCGTATAATAACATGTATGATATTACTGTTCAACGGGTCGACCGATAAACACGATCGCCTATATGTCTATTTGGGTACCTGGGCATTGTATATGGGTGGACCGGCTATCTATACGGAAATATTGGCAATGTTTTGGTCATTGGGAATGGTACTATTGTTTCATTTTAATTTGTGTC